GAGGGGTCCGAGGCAGCCGCCACTCGGGTCCCCGGCACAGCCCACGGGGGCCTTCGGGGTACCCGGGCTGGGTGAAGTTGCTGCAATACCGCTGAACTCAGAAAAGCTGGCAGCCCCCAAACTCCAGTGGGCACCTTCTGCATGTTGGGGCGCAACTATCTGGTCTCAGAGGCGCCATTGTATGGGGCCCTCTCCCCCTGCAGAGACGCCGCTTGACACTTTACACCTGAGTTACTGCTGTCCTGTCGGTGATGGAAGAGGAGAAGCCACGATGCCGCCTTTGGGGGTGGGGCATGTTTTTAGTCCTATTTTATGTTATTAGTCCTATTTTATTTTTTTAATCTGTTTATTGATAAGGGAGAGGGAGAGAGAGAAACATCAATGATGACAGAGATGCCTCCTGCACGCCCCCCACTGGGGATGGAGCCTGCAACCCCGGCATGTGCCCTGACCAGGAATCAAACGGTGACCTCCTAGTTCATAGGTGGATGCTCAACCACTGAGCCGCCCTGGGCCGGGCTTATTAGTCCTGTTTTAAAAGAGAAAGCTCCCTTGGCGGGGCTGCTCCGTTGGGTAGAGAGCGTCGTATAGATACACCAAGGTTTCAGGTTCAATGCCGATCCCTGGTCAGGGCACATATAAGAAGCAACCAATGAATAAGTGGAACAACAGATCAATGTTTTCCTTTCTACCTCCCTTCTCTCTCTCTATCAAATCAATCAATAAAAGGAATGACCTTTCTCTCTGAAATCAATAAAAATGCATTTAAGAGGCTGAAAGTCATCCTTGGCTCTATCCTTGACCACACTTGGACATTAACACCTTGACCTCGTCAAGCTCTCAGTTGCATCTGTTCCTTCCTACAGCCAATGCCTTAGCTTACCCTTTGTCATCTCATTTCTTCATTATACCTACTCTCCTCCCTCCAAAGATAACCTTCAGTAAGTTAGTCCACTTAGGCTCAACGAGACTCAGTTTCCTTGGATTTACATGAGGCTAATTATGACACATCTTGCTAGGATGTGGGTGAAAGGATGGGACGGTGCCTGGCAGAGAGTAGCTTTGGGTAAATATCAGTTCCCCTCCCTTTTCCCCTGGATATTCAGTGTTGAATAAATGAATAAATTAGTTCAGAAATGAATCCACTTTGGCATCTTTCTTGGATACATTCACATTCCAAAAGGCCCATATATTGCAGTTGTGGTTTAAAAAAAAAAATCTAACACCAAATAACCAAATTTGCTGTTTGCAGCAGGAGGCTAACACGGTTTCCAACAGTTGGAGGAGGACCTCTATATTGATTTTTAAAGGAAAATACAAAGAAACGCCCTTGGGAAGCAGTGGCGGCACAGGACTTTGTATGTGACCTGTTTCATCGTTCCCCTCCATATACTAGAGGCACACAGTTGGCGCCTTAATGCACAAGGAAGGCTTGGCCTTCTGAGAGGCCTTGGAGTTGCAGGACTGGCTGGGAACCACATGAAGTCCTGGAGCCACAGTGTCCTCTAGTGGTCAATAACCGCCACAACACCCCGCAGCACTGCCAGACACACAAAGCCCAGGGGGCACAAGTTCCCTGAAGTGTCCTGGACCAGCCCAGGGTGCAGCCACCAGGGCAAACTTACAGGGCTGTGGTCATGACTGGGAAATAACAAACAATACACTTTTCAAGAAATGCTTTTCTGAATGTGTTAGCCATGGCAGCCACATTTGTTTCTTAAAATTCATTAGGCATCAGCCCATTAATGGGGTCTAGGCAATGATCTCAGGCCGCTAACATCACAAAGAGAAACCAGGCATTCACCACCTCCGAGGGAAGTACACAGACCAGCGATGAAGTATTTTTGTCAAAGACTTGAAACTGAGTCCGATTAAGTCTCTAGATCTAACCACCAATTACAGGACATAAATTGGTACTGGTTAACACAGAAATAAATTTATAGAGGAATATGTTGAACAACACTGCAGGGATGCGATTAGAAAAATCCAGACTGTGGAAAACTCTACAAGACAAATTACCGATTTCTTCAGCGATAAATTGCCAAGGAGAGAGGGGAAGAGATAAACTTTCTTTTGAATCCTGATTTAAGTGAAGAGGGGAAAAAAAACACTTGTTTAGGAAATTAGGAAAATCTGAACACTGTATATTTGACCTTAAGAAACTTTTTTTTTTACTGTAAAGATGATATTATGGTTGTTAATTTTATAAAGATTCCCTCTATTTTAGAGGCATGCACTAAAATATTTTCAAATGAAATGATGTGCTAAGATTTCAAAATAATTTGAGTGGGTGGGGGAGCAGATGAAACAGCACTGTTGAAGCTGGGGGATGGGCACATGAGGACTCATGCTAAGGGCTTTACTTTTGTTTATATTTTAAATTTAATAATTAAATGTAAAAAAAAATATCTCTCCTAGAAAAAGTTTTAACTTGGTTCTCAAGAGAGCCCACAGCTGACTCCTTTGAAAGCTTTATTCTGCCTTGGCTGGTGGCTCAATGGTTAGAGCATCAGCCTGTGAACCAAAGGGTCTCTCATGGGTTCCATTCCCATACCTGGGTTGCAAGTTCAATCCCCATCCCCAGTCGGGGGGCATGGGTGAGGCAACCAATCAATGTGTCTCTCTCACTTTGATGTTTTTCTCTCTCTGTCTCTCCCCCTCCCATTCTCTCTAAAAATCAATGGGAAAATATCCTCGGGTGAGGATTAACAACAACAACAACAAAAAGATAAGTGGAACAACAAACCGACATTTCTCTCTCATCTCTATATCTCAATCTGTATTTCTATCTCCCTTCTATAAAATCAATAAATAAAAATTAAAAATAATAAGAGGAATGAATGTAAACAGTTTGTGGCCAGAGGAAAATTGTGCCTGATTAAGATACACAAATTCTTTGACACTCCTTTTGAGACAAGGGGTCTGTTTCTTCATCTTTTTGAATCTGGGTGGGTTCGGTGATTTCACCAATGAAGTGCCAGTTTCAAGCCCAGGTATTAAGAGACTGGCCATTTCTACTTCCTGTCTCTCGGAACACCTACTCCTGGAATCTGGATGCTAGGCTGCCAGCCCCACGCATAGGCCCACGTGGAGAGAAGCCAAGTGCGCCCCACCCCACCCCAGGCTGCCAGCACCAACCTGTCTTCCAGCCATGTGAGTGAACCGTCTTGGAAATGAATCCTCCAGACCCAGTTGAGCACTTTAGCTAACTGCCCACACACCCAGAGCTGGGAGTGGCTGAGAATTTCCTCCTCGGTAGCGCTCTTTCGCTGATGACTGACTGGTATGGGTATATAAAAACCAGTTCCCTTGCCTTACGTTTGGAACAGCAATGGGGTATAATTTATACTCGAGTTCCCCCCGCTGTATCAGGCTAAAGCCATTATCCAGAGGACTTGATACGAAATTCTGACCCTACTTTTTAAAAAAATATATTTTTATTGATTTCATTTCTACTTCCTGTCTCTCGGAACACCTACTCCTGGAATCTGGATGCTAGGCTGCCAGCCCCACGCATAGGCCCACGTGAGAGAAGCCAAGTGCACCCCACCCCACCCCACCCCACCCCCAGGCTGCCAGCACCAACCTGTCTTCCGGCCATGTGAGTGAACCGTCTTGGAAATGAATCCTCCAGACCCAGTTGAGCACTTTAGCTAACTGCCCACACACCCAGAGCTGGGAGTGGCTGAGAATTTCCTCCTCGGTAGCGCTCTTTCGCTGATGACTGACTGGTATGGGTATATAAAAACCAGTTCCCTTGCCTTACGTTTGGAACAGCAATGGGGTATAATTTATACTCGAGTTCCCCCCGCTGTATCAGGCTAAAGCCATTATCCAGAGGACTTGATACGAAATTCTGACCCTACTTTTTAAAAAAATATATTTTTATTGATTTCAGAGAGGTAGGGAGAGAGATAGAAACATCAATGATGAGAGAGAGGGGTCTGTGTTTCTTCATCTTTTGAATCTGGGTGGGTTCTGTCATTTCACCAATGAAGTGCCAGTTTCAGGCCCAGGTGTTAAGAGACTGGCCGTTTCTACTTCCTGTCTCTCGGAACACCTACTCCTGGAATCTGGATGCTAGGCTGCCAGCCCCACGCATAGGCCCACGTGAGAGAAGCCAAGTGCACCCCACCCCACCCCACCCCACCCCCAGGCTGCCAGCACCAACCTGTCTTCCGGCCATGTGAGTGAACCGTCTTGGAAATGAATCCTCCAGACCCAGTTCACTTTAGCTGCTAACTGCCCACACACCCAGAGCTGGGAGTGGCTGAGAATTTCCTCCTCGGTAGCGCTCTTTCGCTGATGACTGACTGGTATGGGTATATAAAAACCAGTTCCCTTGCCTTACGTTTGGAACAGCAATGGGGTATAATTTATACTCGAGTTCCCCCCGCTGTATCAGGCTTTTCCCCCCGCCCCCCCCCCCCCCCCCCGCTGTGTCAGGATAAAGCCATTATCCAGAGGACTTGATACGAAATTCTGACCCTACTTTTTTTAAAAATGTATTTTTATTGATATCAGAGAGGTAGGGAGAGAGATAGAAACATCAATGATGAGAGAGAATCACTAACAGGCTGCCTCCTGCACACCCCACACTAGGAATGGAGCCTGCAACCCGGGCATGTGCCTTTGACCTGGAATCGAACTGTGACCTCCTTGGTTCATAGGTTGATGCTCAACCATCAAGCCACACCAGCTGGGCCGTGACCTCATAATTTAATCCATCATGTCCCTCTAATACAGCGGTTCTCAAC